TATATCTCTTTTAAAAACAGCTTTGTTCTGTGTTCTTGTAAAGTGCCTTCGAGTTGATTTTAACTCAGTTGACCTCATGTGACAAAGTGGATCTCCTCCATAGTGTTTTCTAGGCTGTGACCCTTATAGGAGCAGATAGCCAGGTCTTCCCCTCCTTCCCCAGAGCCATTGGTGGACTCAAGCTGTTGACTTTTCAGTTAAACGAGCATTTAACTATTGTACCTTGAGGGCTCCTCAAAAGAGCTCTAAGTGTAGAGAAGAATTACACAGAAAGTTCCTTGTAAGGTCTTTTGCATTCAGCCTTTAGAAGCATCTTGCCTTAGTGATATATTGGTTACAATTAATGAACCAATATTAATACAGTATTAGAAACCATCTTTTACCTAAGGTTCACCGTGTTACAGTTTTATGGGACTTGGCAAATGCTTAAAATCACATGTCCACATTGAGTTTCATTTTCCCAGTTTCCTCACTATTCAAAAACATCTTGGTTTAACGGGGGTGGGTGGGAGGGGCGCTGCCTTCCTCTTTGCCATTTGAACTGCATTCACTGTTGCTATATAAAATTCAAGTGCTATTTCCCTTGATAGATTTTTCCTGCTTGGTGTCTCTCTTGCCTGTGACAGAAATGTTTAGTAGCAGACCCAAAGATCCTAGAAATCAAGAGAGTATTCCCAATAAAAAGTAATTATTAGTGCTATTAGTAATAAGTAACATTTACTGAGAGACTTCTGTATGTCAGGTTTATAAACATCTAGTTTTCATAACAGCCCAGAAACTGAGCCTCGGTGTCATTGTATACCTCGACCTAGGTTATTCAATGATCAAGTGAACAACCAGAATCTGAACCAGGTGTGTTTAACTTTGAAACTCCTCTGTTGACTACTATTTGATATTGGCAAGAGACCAAAAGCAATGAGCTCATCTCTCTGACCCTCTGAAACTTAAGTCCCAGCTTTTCAGAATTAAATAAGAGACTACTGTATTATTCATTCTCTAGCCTGTGTTAGTCACTCAACAGACACCTATTCCTTTTCTCCTTTTGTACCCTTTGAAAAATGGTATTTTCACTCTATATACATACATATATAAACAATAACTTATTTATTATTACTCCATCTTCCATTATTCACACTAGACAGAAACCTTTTTTTCTGTCCAAAACCTGAGCAATTGTGTGTGTGTGTGTGTGTGTGTGTGTGTGTGTTAATGAGAGCATGCCCATTATTGTCTTATTGGGTTTTTCTCCTCCCTCTAATTTTGTATTTGTTTACCTACTATTCATGTTGTATTTAGGGCCTATGGATGGAGAATTACCACCAAGAGCTAGAAACCAGGCCAATAACCTCGCAGCCAATGCTCTCAGAGGAGGAGCCAACCAGCCTGGAAGGCGTCCTAGGGCCAACAACAATCCTGTTGCTTGCCGGCAAAGGGAGGAGAGATTTGGGGCCATGGGCAGGAACCCACATCAGGACAGGAGGTACCATGAGGGCCACGCCAGTGATGAAGCAAGAGGCCATAGACATGGTCAGGAGAATGATACCAGGCGGAGAAATGGCAACCAAGAGGGAAGGAGCCATAGACCACCGCGGCCCAATGAAAACTTCCAGAATTGGTGGGGCCCCTACCAGAAGCCTGCAGAACAGCCACAGCCAGGAAAGAGGCTGGGCTACAAATTCCTGGAAAGTCTCCTGCAGAAAGATCCCTCTGAAGTGGTCATCACACTTGCCACCAGTTTAGGTCTGGAGGAACTCCTGTCTCATTCTTACATGAAACCCAACTTCCTTGAGCTCATCTGCCAGGTTCTCCGGAAGGCTTGCAGCTCTAAAATGGACCGGCAGAGCATTCTCCATGTGCTGGGCATATTGAAGAACTCCGAATTCCTCAGAGTTTGCCTGCCTGCATACGTGGTAGGGATGCTCACCGAACCTATTCCAGATGTACGAAACCAATATCCAGAACACATAAGCAACATCCTCTCCCTCCTTCAGGACCTTGTAAGTGTCTTCCCTGCCAGCTCTGTGCAGGAAACTTCCATGCTTATTTCCCTCCTGCCAGCTTCTCTTAATGCTTTGAGAGCCTCTGGTGTTAACATAGAAGAGGAGACGGAAAAGAACCTGGAGAAGGTTCAGACCATCATTGAACATCTGCAGGAAAAGAGGCGAGAGGGCACTTTAAAAGTGGACACCTTTACTCTGGTGCAACCTGAGGCCGAAGACCAAGTGGAGAGCTACCGAACCATGCCCATTTACCCCACCTACAATGAAGTGCACATGGATGAGAGGCCCTTCCTCCGTCCCAATATCATCTCTGGAAAATATGATAGCACTGCTATCTATCTGGATACTCATTTCCGACTTCTTCGAGAAGATTTTGTCAGGCCTCTACGGGAAGGGATTTTGGAACTTCTTCAGAGCTTTGAAGACCAGGGCCTGAGGAAAAGAAAGTTTGATGACATCCGAATCTACTTTGACACCAGGATTATCACCCCCATGTGTTCATCATCAGGAATTGTCTACAAAGTGAAGTTTGACACAAAACCACTGAAATTTGTTCGCTGGCAGAATTCTAAGCGATTGCTTTATGGGTCCTTAGTGTGCATGTCCAAGGACAACTTTGAGACATTTCTTTTTGCCACCGTGTCTAACCGGGAGCAGGAAGATCTCTGCCAAGGGATTGTCCAGCTCAGCTTCAACGAGCAGAGCCAACAGTTGCTAGCAGAGGTCAAGCCTTCTGACTCTTTCCTCATGGTAGAGACAACTGCCTACTTTGAGGCCTACAGGCATGTCCTAGAAGGGCTCCAGGAGGTCCAGGAGGAAGATGTCCCCTTCCAGAGAAACATCATAGAGTGTGACTCTCATGTGAAGGAGCCAAGGTACTTGCTAATGGGAGGCAAATACGATTTCACCCCCTTAATAGAGAATCCCTCAGCCACTGGGAAACCTCTGGGGAACACTGAGGGCTTGAGACATCCCAAAGTTAATGTCTTAGATCCCAGCCAGTGGCCCTCAAAAGAAATGCTGAAGCTGGATACCTCCCAGATGGAAGCCTTGCAGTTTGCACTCACAAGGGAACTGGCTATTATTCAAGGACCTCCTGGAACAGGTAAGATAATTTTTTCAGAGCACTTGAGATATGCTTATGAGATGGACAAGGGAGGTTTGGCTCCAACTTCCTAGGATGTAGTGTAGGATGTTGGAACACTCTTGCTGAGATGGGCATCAAACGACTTGTTTATAAAGTAGCCACTCATGTTCCCTCCCCCCACCCCACTAATGAACAATATAAAATAAAATAGCCACTTTAAAGTGATAATAATAGGTGAGAATTATAAAGTTAGATAAGATTGCTAGAGACCAAATTTTAGATGCATTCTCTATGCTTCATGATGAGTATGTTCATTGACTTAATTCTATATTGTTTTAACTTGAATTACTTAATATGTATAATAGCACTATCTGCAAATGACTTTTATTTATGTTTAATCAGTATATCCTTATAATGACCCTATGCATTAGAAATAGAAACAATTATTAGACTCATGTTACAGATGAAAAACTAAAGCCAAAAGGTGTCATATAATTTATTGAAGCGCACAGATGGTGACAGATGTAGGACTTGAACATAGGATGTCTGGCTCTAGAGTCATGACTCCTACCCTACCACATGGTACTTGCTTCTCTTGGAAAGAATTCCTCTCTACCTCTCCACCCCCTACATTGTCACTTCTAATCCCCTACTCTGGGGCAGTAACCTCTATTAGCAGTTTGGTGAATGTCTTTTCAGATGTTCCTCAAGACTGACACTGATCTATGTATTGTCTGTACGTGTCCTTATTTTCATGCGTATACATACACTTTCTCTTCTTTTTTTAAATAGCAAAAATGGTATAGTGGTCTATAGTTTTTTTTAATAATACAATATAAATTATGGATATTTTGACATAACATTTATAAATGTACACATTCTATTTACTATATCTGCATATAATATTCCAACATATGAATATACCGATTTTATTTTCTTTTTAAATTAAATACTTTCATTGGGGGCTCTTACGTCTCTTCTCACAATCCACACAATATTTTTGGTGTTACCCACATAGCAATGCTTATGAGGCTGGTGGCGGGACCAGGCAGCATTTACATATTGCAATACATACTGCAATACATATCTTTGTAGATGTGTACATATCTTTTTTGGGGGGGATGTATATATATCTTTGGATATTCTGCTCATTATTATTTCTGTGACTTTTTCCCCTAGATAAGAGAATTTGTGTTAACAGTTCTAATAAAACCTCTTGCCATTGAGTTGATTCAACTTATTCTAACCATGTGGGACTTTACAGTTAGTATGAGTTGGAATCATAAGGTTTATAAAGCTATAAGTTTTGAGGGGTGTCTTCCTCTTGTGTACCTTTGTGAGGGCCAGAAGGATAAGAACCTTCTTTGTTTTGCTCACCACTGTGACTAGCACCTAGCGCAGGGCCTGGCACCTCATAGACACCTAAGAAATCATATTGAAGGGAGAAAAAAAGGAAGAAAGAAATGGTTACTTAGCATGCTACATAAAAATCTGATTTTTTTTTCCACATTGCTCCCTCACTCAACTTTGAAGTTTTTTGAGGAGAGTCGTTATCTTACTCCGCTTGAAACAATTTAGGAACTTAGCAGTTTGTAAACCAAAAACCCACTGTCATCAAGTTGATTCTGATTTATAGTGACCCTATAGGATAGAATAGAATGGCCCTTTTGAATTTCTGAGACTTGTAAATCTTTATAGGAACAGACAGCCTATACTTTTTCCCATGGAGTAGCTATGGGTTTGAACTGCTGACCTTATGGCTAGCAACTCAATGCCTAACCCACAACATCACCAGGGCTCCTTTAGTGGTTTATAAATTTAATTAAATAATGGCAATTATTAATGAACCTAGAACACACCAACATGAAAGACAAGTCTTCCATGGTATCTAAAAATACTTGTAAGGAATTTTGCACATGAGATTGAAATCAAACTATCTCTAGCAATGGGGAGCAGGTGAAAAAGAAACCTTAGCTATGAAAAATGGGAAAGATAAGGGAATTCTTTTGATGGACTGATAGAGAACTGTTTCCAAACTACATGGGGGCTGCATCTACCCTCCTCCAGCTCCCAAAGCTGATTGCCACATAGCAGAGGTCAGACATGCTCTACCCTCCCTCCATTCTATTTTACCCCATCCTTCCTGTGGTAACCACACAGAACTCAGTGTTCATGATGATGGAATTTATTAGAGAAGTTAACAGGTTGCAATTCAGGTGAGACAGGCTTAGGACACAGTTTAGTCAGAACAGTTTCTTTGCCCTGCCTGTAGGCAAATCTTTTCCTGGACCATAGCCTCCTGGGCTGGCCTCTGCCCTGATTGGCAATGTTTCAAAAGCTCTTTTAGGGCTGCTAATAAATGCCCAAAGGGCATCCCACTCTGCTGTAAGCCTCAACTCAAAGGCACTCTGGGTAGCAACCCCAGCTGCTCCAAATAAGTGCCCAGAGGCACCCTGCTCCACAAGCCAGCTTCCTGCCTCAAAGCACTCAGCTTTATTTGCTCTGTGGGCTAGGATAAGTCCACCACTCTGTCATGCTTTGGTTCCTGATTCTGCTGCTGCTGCTCCCCTGCCATTCCTCTAGTGTCAAAGCTGTCTCCTGGACCAAGGAGGTTCAGTGCATAGGGATCTCAGGGTCACAAAGATATACTCCACTTCTGGCTCTTTAGCTGATGGTGAGATTTACAAAATGGCTCATTTCATACTCAGTAGGATGGCAATAAATTACCTCAACAGCTGAATCAATCCAATATCAGTATCTTCCCCTAACTTCTTAGCAGAATTCATCAGGAAAATGAAGGCTATTTGGTGAGTGTCACCAAGGGTATATGGCTAGGAGAGCCACATAAAGAATTCACTGCATTGCGTACATTAATTGAAAAGAGAGATGTTGAACAGTGGAAATAGCCTGCTACTATTAGTATTATAAAACAAGAAAAGGAGAGGCTTAAAGAAGAATACATATTCATATTTGCATGTGTGTGCTTAAATGACTCTCTGGAAAGTTACATAAGAGTATTCCTCCCAGAGAGAGGAGCTGGGTGACAAGGGCATAGAAATGTACTTTTCAGATCATCCATTTGTGCTTCTAGGATTTGAAATAATCTGAATATTACTTCAAAAAAAATTATTTTAGTAGTTATAAGTAATTACTGCTTTTAAAATGTCTGCATTTTTTTTTAACTGATTCTTTTTGTTTTTCCTAGGCAAAACCTATGTGGGTCTCAAAATTGTACAGGCCCTTCTAACTAACGAACCTGTTTGGCAACTTAACTTCCAGAAATTCCCCATCTTGGTTGTGTGTTACACTAATCATGCTTTGGATCAGTTTCTAGAAGGTAACGTCTAGGCAAAATTATTCTCAATATGTGTAGTATTAAATTAAAATGGCACGGAGGTGGGGGGCCAGGCCCCACCGCTAATCGCAGGTTCAGTAATACTACTTCTGGGTTCAGTAATGCACAATTGTACGGTTGAGATATATAAGTATTATATTAAAGTCATCGAGAGCATGAGAGATATTACAATAATACAGTCAGACACATTATATGGTAGCATTGCTCACCTCAGCCCAGCTTGGTGGTCCACATGGAGAAAGGGGGAAGGGAAGGAGGGCAAGGGAACAAGGGAGAGAGGAGAGGGGGAAGGGAGAGGGGTCAGAGAGAGTCAGAGATAGAGAGGTCAGAGAGCTCTCTCTTGCTGACCCACGCCTATAGATCTTTTGGGGCCATGCCAGCCCACTAATTACAGGTAGAGACATACCTCACAGGAAGGGGTTACACTCACTATAGGTAACACAGTAATGAGAGGGTGGTCTCTGGGTCTCCATAGGAACCATTATCAGTAGGGTGAAAACTCCACCTACAGGAGCCTGTCCATTGTCCCCAGAGGCAGGGAGCAGGCCCACCCCTGTGGTGGGATGAGACAGCAGTCTGGCAACTGATTGCCCTCAGTGGGGGGAATGCCTACGCATTTGACCTCCCCCCACAAATATGTTTACAGCTGAACTTGAAACAGTACTATCAGCACCTTCGGTCACTTTCTGTTCCTCGTTGAATGTAGCCCACAGTCCTTATGTCGACCTTCAAGCCTGTTTGTACTCTTCCCGGGGTAATTCTCATCTTCATCTCCTACCATATCCCATTCTCCCTACCTCTAACCATGTTGATCATCTTTATCTCCTTCCTTGAGTTTCTCCACCTTTTCTCTTGGCCCCTGCTGGAAGACTTCCCCTCCACGTGCCCCCTATCCTTCTCCTTTCATCTTGAGCGAGCCTAGCTGGTTCTTCAGGTGGATTTTTACTACTGCCCCTGATAAGATTAAGTCTCGTGGCAGTTTTTTTTCTCCTCTAATACAGACAAAGCATATATGTAATTAATTTTAATTATATAATCTATTTTATGTGTGTCTATCCTAACCTAAACAGGGCTGATCCTGTTTCTTGCTGTACTCATAAATCTTAACACGTGTATTAGACGTCTACTCAACAAATATTGATTACACCAATGAATAAGTATATCCACGCTTCACTTTATGACATGACTGGGTTCAAAGAGCAGATAATTATGTAAAATCAGCTTTCTTCAAGACTGAGAAGCTATATTAGTGTTCTCTCCCACCACCCCCAATACTCACCACTCAATGGGGGGTCCCCAATGAGTCTTAAGACATGGGTGGCATAGTGGGCAACCCTTCCCTACCACACCTCCAAGACCAGAGCCAGAGGGGGTTGTGGTGACCGGGTGCTGCTTCCTGCCAACACCTAGTGGCAACTCATCTTCTGCCCTCTCTGGCCCCATATCCCTATGTAGTCCCCTTCCTGCCTCTCCCAGATGACCTCCCCAGGACCTTTAGACCCTCCCCCTGACTGCACATACCCTCTGTGACCAGATCATAATGTTGCAGTCCAACAGGAGAGGGTATCCTGTGTATTTACAATACCATCTACACTTAGCCACGGTCAGGATAAATTGTTTAACAACTATTTTTTTCTACCAGCCTGGTCTTTCCAAAAGGGAGTGATATTGCCCCCTGGGAGGCTCAGGGGAGGCTGCAAAAGCAGATACAAAGGGATCCGAGTAATGTTCTCCCCCCACCCCACCCCAAAGGGACCAATAGGCCAAATAGTTTATGCTAAACTAAGACGTGAGAACAAATCCAGAACTGAGTCTCTTTTGACTCTGTAACACTTAGCAGTTAGCACATGCTTGGCAGATAAGAAGCAATCAGTAAATATTTATAGGATAAACGCTGATAGTTCATTTTTACTGGATGTTTTATTTGTGCCAAACCCTAAAGCTAGGAGCTTAAAGATATTCGCTCATCCGTGCTATAACTCTATAAGGAATATCTGTTTAAAACCAATTCAATTGTCACTGAGTCACTTCCAACTTGGAGCGAGACCCGGTGTGTTCCAGCTACCGACCTCTCAGTTGACAGAGAAGTCCTTAAAACTGAGGTGCAATGAAGTCACTTGTCCAGGCTTCAGAGCAAGAAGTGTGTCACCAAGATTTCAAACCCCACCTATGTGGTTGTAAGCCTGTGTTTTTAAGCACAACACCCATCGCTCTGTATATAGGGTCCTGTCTGCTCTGGGTCTTCTTGCTTGTGATTGAGGCAAATTTCTTAAACATACCAGTCTATTCACAGGGCAATGTGAACAGAGATCTAAAACTGAGACAAGACCCTAAACACAAACAGCCCCCATCTGAGAGAATTCAACATAACTCCTTTTAACTCTGCTATGTTCCCCTTGCTCTACAGGCATCTACAAGTGTCAGAAGACCAGCATCGTGCGGGTGGGGGGAAGGAGCAACAGTGAAATCCTGAAGCAGTTCACCTTGAGGGAGCTGAGGAACAAGCGGGAATTCCGCCGGAACCTCCCTATGCACCTCCGAAGAGCCTACATGAGTGTAAGTCCCAGCTTTGAACAGGGAGGAAATAGGAGAGCAGTAGCTATCTGGATAGGCGGTCCAGGGTACATAGG